AGAAATCAACTGAATCTTACTGGTTCTCCTTTGGATGGGACTGTTTTTCCAAAGTTGTTTTCATTACTGTCTATCATTTTAGAAAATGTGAGTATGTCTTGGTGGGGCTTTTTGGAGGGTCTATCATCCTATTTAAGAATGAAAGAACTAGCCTTTGAGTTGTGGCACATAACAAAACACAAGAAGAACAAACAGGTTCATTTTGGAGAGGGTGAAACCTTGGAAGCAAGGATTTTGAAGCTTTGTCTAATATACTTTGGAGGACCAGTCCTTGCCAAAGGAAATCATTATTCAAAGGGTAGAGGAACAGCACAAGAGAGAAAGACCCTGGATGAGATGGGTTGATTCAAGTGACTGGAGTAATGGGGTGGTTATGTCCGAGATGATGAGTTTAGCTCAAGATAGAGCAGGGTTCAGGCCTATTGCACACAGGGGCAAGTGATTCGATGGCACATAACAATAACAACAACAACTACTCAGTTTCTTGATTATATATTTTCTCATTTTTCACAATGTTTGGGAAATTTTAAGCAGCAAATCCTGAACAATTTTATGATTTTTTTGTCTCTTCTGGCTTTCTAAATCACAGAAAAGCCATTTCTTTTGATGTCTCTCCATATATATTATTTTTAACTTAATTCACTTTATTTATTATACAGAGACTCTGGTGTGAGTCTTTTCAAAATGGTCAGTCAATTCCTGGTAGGGAGACTTGGTGACCACAATCTCTTGCCAGCAATCTAGGGTCAAGTTGCTGTAGGTCTTGGAGATGGCATCAAAGGTAGCCTTGATGAAGTTGCCCAGGGTAGCTGTGTAGCCCCTGGCTGAGGTGTAGCAGTAATCAATTCCAGCCATCACCATCAGCTTCTTGGGCACAGGGGCTGAGATGTTCCAGTGCCTCGGGGTGCAGGGATCAGATGCACCAACACAGCCACAGTGCCCAGTTACCTTGCAGGGAACAGTATGAGGTTTGCCAATCTTGTTCCCCCAGTAGCTATGCCACACAGGAACAATGGAGAGAGAGCTTGGCCATATATTTCTTTGTCTCGCTCTTCCTCCCTCCCTCCTTTCTTCCTTCTTTCCTTCCTTCACTCCCTTCCTCCCTCACTCTGGCTGTTCCTCTAACAGATGAGTATTGAGTGGTTTGTTCTCTAATTCATTATTTTTGTGTTCCAGTTCTTCAATTTTGCCCTTTTGCTCTTTCAATGTGTTATCGATTTCTGTGATTTTCATCTTAATATTCTGAATTTCACTTCATTGTTTTTGTATTGCTTGTAATTTTCCAATCATTTTAATCTATTAGATTTTATAAAGTGTTTAAAAGATTCTGTCTCAGCATGGTACTGGTACAATGACAGACACATGGATCAATGGAACAGAAGTGAGAACCCGGAGATCAGCCCATCTATCTATGGTCAACTGATTTCTGACAAGGACATGAAATCAGTTACATGGGGAAATCAGCTATGCCTTTTTAAAAAGTGCTGTTACCAAAATTGGAAAAGTATCTGCAAAAGACTCAAGCAAGACCACACTTCACTCGATATACAAAAACCAACTCAAGGTGGATCATGACCTAGGACTAAAACCAAGGACTATAATCATCACTAAAGAAAAGCTTGGAAAAACACTAGATAGAAGTCCTAATCCACATAAACAGCCTTCCAAGTATCCTGAAAAACCTACAACCAGGAGAAGATGACGTAGATGAATGGGATCTTCTAAGAATCAAATCCCTATGCACATCCAAAAGCTTCTCCAACAGGGTAAAAAGGGAAGCCACAAACTGGGAAAAAGTATTTTGTAATGACATATCAGATAAAAGAATTATATCCAGAATTTATAAAATACTTGAGCACCACAACAAGGTAAGGGTAAATAATCCAATAGAAAAATGAGCAAAGGATATGAACAGACACTTCACCAAAGAAGACATTCAGATGGCTAACAAGCACATGAAGAAATGTTCAAAATCCCTAGCTCTAAAAGAGATGCAAATCAAAACAACTATGAGATATCATCTCACCCCAGTCAGAATAGCAAAATCTAACAGAACAGCAAGCAACAAATGCTGGTGAGGTTGTGGAGAAACTGAGACCCTTATTTACCGTTGGTGGGAGTGTAAAATGGTGCAATCATTGTGGAAAGCAGTAAGATGCTTTCTCAAAAAGTTGCAAACAGAGTTACCATTTGACCCAGCAATTCCACTATGGGAATATACCCTAAAGAGACCATAACTGACATCCAAGCAGATATATGCACATCCATGTTTACTGGCTTTGTTTACAATAGCAAGGAATTGGAAACAACCTAAGTGCCCATGAAAAAACAAATGGATAGAGAAGCTGTGGTATATTCACACAATGGAATACTATGCTACATTGAAAACCAAGGAACTCATGCAGTATTATTCAAAATGGGTGACCCTGGAGGACATTATGCTGAGTGAAGTATCTCAGTCACAAAAGGAAAATACTGCATGGTGCCACTGTTGTAAAACAAGACTGACCTCAGGGTTGGGGGGAGACTGAGAAAGATGGGTTCAATAATGTATACTGCACTGAAACAGACGAGGGAGAAAACTGTTTAAGAGGGATATGTTATTAGGTATTTTTGCCATGACAGGAGTCCAGAATGAAGGCTATATAGTGGAGTGGACCTGGGGGGAGGGAAAGAATTTTTCTTTTACTTTACCAAGAGGGTAGTGTACTAGGGGGGAGGGTTGAGAGGGGAGAAAAGT